AAAAAAAAAAAAAAAACAAAAAGAAATATAATTCGAAATAGACGAGACGATTTTTTGTTGTCTTCTTCTTTATCTTCTTCCAAGAGAGAGAAAGAGAGAGACAGAGAAAATGAAAAGAATAAAAGTGAGAGGAGCCTAACGAAATAGCCTTATCATCCCAACCAATCCTACCTGTCTCCCTCCCTTCTTCCTTCTTATCATCAACCTCCTACCCCTCGTTGTGTTTTCTCTATAATATCACGCTCCATTATTTTTCTTCGCTAAAATTCGACGCTTTGTACAAACTAATTTACGCGCGAGTTAACCAACGAACATACATACACACACATATCTATATATATATACACCGTATGCATATACATACGTACTTATTTATACGCGTAGTTTTATATGTAAAAGGGGGGTGGTAAAAAAGAAGGAAAAAAAAAAAAGAAAGAATGAATGAAAGATAGAGAGAGATAGAGATATAGAGAGATAAAATAGGAAGGAAAGAGGTAGGGGGGTTGAACACAAAAATGAAGGAAAGCAGCTAGCTATGGGGGGTGGCGGGGGTGAGTAGGGTAGTTACGAGCGAGAAGTGGAAAAATACTAGTAGCATGAAAGGTACGTACGTACCGTTGCTTTTCTGCGCGTGGCTATTTGCGCGGGGGTGATGGCGGATGGGGAATCGGGGGGAAGGGGTGGTTGGTAGTAACCTGGACTAAAAGTAAAGCAGGGTTGGGTGGATAGATAGATAGATAGATAGATAGATAGATAGAGAAAAAGAGATAGAAGTTTTAAAGGGAAGACGAAACGAAACGAAACGAAAGGAAACGAGACGAGACGAAGGACCGGACCGGACCCGGACCGGGTCAGACCCGGCCGGCCAGGTCTTCGACGAGAAAGCTTCGCCGAGAATTTGGAAGAGAATTTCCAAAGGTTAGGAGGGTGAGAGTAAGTTGGAAGAGGGTGAGTTTTAGAGAGGGTGAGGACGATAAACGAGGAACTTGGGGCGAGCCGAGTCAAGAACTCAACCCATACGAACCAACCCTCCCTCTCTCTCTCTCTCTCTCTCTCTCTCTCTCTCTCTCTCTCTCTCTCTCTC